GCATATAATTTACTCTTCCCAAAAGCCTTACAGGTAACAGTTGATTAACATATTTGTATATTAATATGTATTACATATTACTACATAAGGTAAGGTAGAGAAAAGAAAATGTCATTAAGAAAATTGTAAGGGCCCTAGCTGGTTTGGCTCAGTGGATAAAGCATTGGCCTGTGGACTGAAGGTTCCTGATTCGATTCTGGTCAAGGGCATATGCCAAGGTTACAGGCTCAATCCCCAGTAGGGGAAGTGCAGGAGGCAGCCGATCAATGACTCTCTCATTCATGTTTCTATCTCTCTCCCTATCCTTTCCTCTCTGAAATCAATAAAAAATATTTTTAAAGGAAAATACAGTTAGAATATTTATTGGGGGGGAAAATCCATGTGCAAGTGGACCCATGCAACTCAAGCCCATGTTGTTCACGGGTCTGCTGTAGATAGTGTTAATTCATTGCTCACACAGAATGACATTTTACTTGTTTCCCTTATCATGTCTCTTTGGAATTCGTACTTTCTTTTTTCCTATTGATTCATTTCCCTACTTCCCATTGCCTATAAACTGTTCTCTTGAAGCTTATATGTTGAAGCCCTAACCCCCATTGTGATGGTATTTGGAGAGGCAGCCTTTGGGAGGTGAACAGGTGAGAGTGGAATTGGTTCCCTTATAAGAAGACACACAAGAGAGATGTCTGTCTCTTGGTTATGTTGAGGACACAGCAGGAAGAGGGCTCTTGCCAGACTCCAAGTCTCTGGCACCTTGATCTTGGCTTCCCAACCTCCAGAACTAAGAGAAATATGTTGTTTAGAACATCCAGTTTATGGCATTTTGTTACAGCAGCCTGAGCAGACTAATACACCATTTACTTCTATTATTTATCTTCAATTTCTTTCCTTCCTTTCTTCCTATAATTATTGGGCATCTAGAATGTGCTCGTTGCCAAGGCAACAATAAGGCTTATAACCTTGTGTGGGTGGGGGTTGGGGGTTTGGCAAGCAAATAAAAGGCACTTGTAGTGTGGTAAATAACACTACAGAATGGACACTGGATGCAAGGGGCATAAATGAGGGTCAGACCAGCCTAGTGGTTTCTAGGAGGCAATGTCAGGTTTTAGCCAAAATTTTAAGGATATATAAGAGGTAGCCAGCCAGGTAAAGAGAGACGGTGATGGTGTAGTGTGTTCCAGGCAGCGGGAGCACCAGATGGTATTTTAAATGCAATTCACTGTGTCCCCTTGCCTCAACAGTGCCATGCCTGCTCTTCACATGTGTTTCACTGCAGGGATCCTCTGCACTATGGAAGCTGCAGGCATTCTACACATATATTCAACTCAAGATACACCCAAAATTGTCTCCAGGAACAACCTTCAACCAGTGGGAGACAGGAGCCCAAGTGGTCAGGGAGGAGGTGACCTTTAAAACCTTTCCAATGGAGACAACTACCCTCCTGACACAATACAAGACAATGTGAATATCAAATATAATTCAATGTTTGAGTGCCTGGTATATATTGGGAAACCTAAATCGTTTAAATTATTGGACCAACAGTGAACAAACTAGGGAATAAGATAGATAATGTTGTGGAGCAAACACGAGTAAAGACCACTGGAGTCCAAATTAAAATTTAGGGAGATTTTATTAGCCGGCTGGCCAGCTGACCACAGAGAGTCCAGAGAGCAGCAGCGACCATTTGTGTAGGACCACTTTTTAAAAATATATATTTTATTGATTTTTTACAGAAAGGAAAGGAGAGGGGATAGAGAGCCAGAAACATCAATCCCCTACTGGGGATGTGCTCACAACCAAGATACATGCCCTTAACCAGAATCCAACCTGGGACCTTTCAGTTCGCAGGCCGAGGTTCTATCCACTGAGCCAAACTGGTTTTGATTGTAGGACCACTTTTAAGTCTATTAACCACATCCTATTTTCGTAGAACAAGTAACCCAAGACAAAACAGTTTTTCCTAAGCTATGTCAGGGTCATGCCATTGACAGCCATGTTATTCACAGTGTCATCCTGTCCTTTAGAAAGCCGACAGAGATCTATGAAAGAAGGCCTACGTGCTGGGAAGGGGCCATGAGACCCTGTCTCAAGGCCTGGCCTGGTGTCAGCACTGACAGCTCCATCTGGGCCACAGTCCACGGCCTCTGTGGAAGCATGCTCAAAAACTCCCGCTCTCCAACAATACCATTTCTGCTCCAAGAGTGAACAGTAATGTCAGCTATGGACTTAGCTGTTGGCTCATGGGTTGTAACAAATAACCACTCTGGTGCAGGATTTTTAAAAATATATATATTTTATTGATTTTTTACATAGAGGAAGAGAGAGAGATAGTGTGTTAGAAACATTGATGAGAGAGAGTCATCCATCAGCTGCTTCACACACACACCACTGGGAATGTGCCCGCAACCAAGGCACATGCCCTTGACCGGAATCGAACCTGGGAACTTTCAGTCCGCAGGCCAACACTCTATCCACTGAGCCAAACTGGTTTCGGCTGGTGCAGGATTTTGATGGTGGGGGTTGGGATATATGAGAACTCTTACCTTCCGCTCAGTTTTGCTGTGAATCTAAAACTATTCTAAAAAAATATAAAGTGTTAATAAAAGAAACAGTTTATTTTTTAAAAAGTCCTTTCAAGATTTTTAAGCAAGGGATGATATGTCTATGTTGTTTTAAATTTGTCCTTTCCCAACATGTTTCCAACATCTCACTGTATTTCTTCACCTGCTTTCAACATCCAAAGCAACATTAAAATCCTAACTGTTTAAGCATTTCCAAGTCAATATTTACCTCACTGTGAAATGTCTGCAAATGAATACCTGAAAACAACTTAGCAATCGTATCAGTGGACAGGTTCCACAGAAGGTGCTTGAAGGAATACAGAAACATATCAGAGGCCCTTAAACTAATCACCTTTGCCTGAATTCTCCCCTGTTTAAATGCATCAGAGGCTGTGCTCCATACCAGCTCACAAGCCCCCAAGCTAATGGATCCACTAGTGCAGGCTAATAAGCAATTTTGTTTAACAGAAATAGTCTGTTACTGCCGAGACCGGTTTGGCTCAATGGATAGAGCGTTGGCTTGGGGACTGAGGGGACCCAGGTTCGATTCTGGTCAAGGGCATGTACCTTGGCTGCGGGCATATCCCCAGTAGGGGGTGTGCAAGAGGCAGCTGATCGATGACTCTCTCTCATCGATGTTTCTTGCTCTCTGTCTCTTTCCCTTCCTCTCTGTACAAAATCAATAAAATATATTTAAAAAAAGAAAAAGAAAAAAAGAAATAGTCTGTTATGAGAAATACAGAGATGGCTCTGAAATAAGTGAAACACAATAAAGTTCAAAAAACCATTTAATGAATTTTTGTGCTTAATATATATTTAATGTTCATAATAATAAGTAATAGAAAACCACAGTAGACTTCTTAGAATTTAGAAAAAGATTTATTATAGTAAAAATTCCCCATAAAATAGTGTATAAACATTATTGTTAATAGTAAGACTTACCTCAAAGGATAAATCAATAAGAAGATTAATTATCTTAAATGTCAATACAAATGAGAGAACATTTTTCAAAAACCATCTTAGTGAATGTTTTATTTATTGTGATAAAATATACATGAAATTTACAATTTTAACAGTTTTAAGATGTACATTTCAGTGGTATTAAGAGCATTCACAATTTTTAAAATATATTTTTATTGATTTCAGAGAGGAAGGAAGACGGAGAGAGAGAGAGAAACATCAATGATGAGAGAGAATAATTGATTGGCTGCCTCCTGCATGCCACCTACTGGGAATCAAGCCTGCAATCTAGGCATGTGCTCTTGGCCAGAATCGAAACTAGGACCCCTCAATCCGTAGGCTGATGCTCTATCCATTGATCCAAACCAGCTGGGGCCATTCCCAATTTTTTATGAGAGCATCATTGATCAGCTACCTCCTGTGTGCCTCCTACTGGGGATTGAGGCTACAACCCAGGTATGTGAACTGGTTCATAGGTCAACGCTCAACTATTGAGACACACTGGCCAGGCTCCAGAACTTTTTGAATCATTCCAAACAAACTCTGTACCCATTAAACACTGACACCCCATTTCTTCCTCTCTCAGGCCCTAGCAACTTCTAGTCTACTTTCCATGTCCATGAATTTAATTTCTCTAAGTACCTCATATAAGTGTAATCATAAAATATTTGTACTTTGTGTCTGACTTATTTCACTTAGTATCATGTCTTCATGCTGTAGGAAATATTAGAATTTCATCCCATTTTTTTTAAATATATTTTTTATTGATTTCAGAGAGGAAGGGAGAAGGCGAGAGAGAGAGAGAAACATCAGTGATGAGAGAGAATCATTGATCGGCTGTCTCCTACACACCCGCTACTGGGGATTGAGCCCATAACCCAGGTATGTACCCCTGACTGGAATTGAACCTGGGACCCTTCAATCCACAGGCTGATGCTCTATCCACTGAGCCAAACAGTCTATGGGTCTTCATCCCTTTATAAAAGTGACTAATATTTTATTGTATATATATATATATATATATATATATATATACTACCTTTTTATCCATTCATCTGTTGATGGACGTAGTAGACTCTTAACTGGTGAGAAACATGATAAAAAATGATGTTTGAGGAAGACGACTCTGACAGCTCTGTTTTTCCAAATCAGATTTCAGGATATATGATCTATTTCCCACCCAAATTTATCAATTTAATTATTTGAACAGTTTAAGAACGTTATAAAAAATAAATACAACTTTATAGTTAATAAATCACTCGTGCTGTAAGAAGAAAAGTACATGCAATGAAGATGCTTAGAAAATCCAAAGTCGCAGATTTTGTTAATGAGAGGGAGAGGCCATGAGTCTTTCTTGATCTTAAGCTTCAGCAAATCAATTTCCAGGGTTTTTCTGTTTGTTTGTTTGATTGGTGTTTTGTTTTTTTTTTCCAAATCCAAGAACTGCCAAGTCACACCCCAAGTCACTAGACTTCGCACTCAAACAGTACTTCATTCGAGGAGCTGAGATGGGGCTGCTGGGAATCACTACTCCTGTTTTTATTATTTTTGTTATTTGCCTGGTTTTCCTTTGGGTGTGGAAAGGTCGCAAACCGGGACGGCTACCACCGGGCCCAACTCCCCTTCCCATCATTGGGAATCTGATGCAGCTAAACCTGAAGGACGTCCCTGCGTCTCTCTGCGAGGTAAGGGGGGTTCATTCCAAGGCTGGCCATTGTCAGGCCGGGGGGTCACCTTCATCTTCCGGCTCTGTCCCTGAGGCCATGGCAGGCTGGCTCTCCTACCTCAGTCTTTCTTAGTTTGCCTCCCCACCGAGGTACTTCGGGGTGTCCACTTCGTATTACAGACATGCATCCTCTTCCTTTCTGGACTGGACACTTCCAACCAGGGAGTGAGGTATGTTGACCAGAAATGTAGGTTGGATTTTTAGTGTGTGAGAAAATTCTGCAATCAGAACTTACTTTAATTGAAAGGCTTCCAATCCCTTCAACATATAACACCAAAAGCCCAGCAAATGTAAAAATGTGTCAAATGTCCTATATGATTATTATTGTTGCATCTATTTTATACTAAATGACCTATCGGAGGTGTGATCCTCACTTCCCTCCCTAACATCTCGCTCTGATACAGCCCAGCTCTGCTACCCTGACAAACATTCATTCCTTGGCAAATATGAGAAAATATTTTTTAAAATACATTTTATTTATTTTTATTTTTTTTACAGAGGGGAAGAGGGATAGAAGTTAGAAATATCGATGAGAGAGAATCATTTATCAGCTGCCTCTTGCACACCCCCTGTTGGGGATGTGCCCACAACCAAGGTACATGCCCTTGACTGGAATCGAACCTGGGACCTTTCAGTCCGCAGGCCAACACTCTATCCGGTATCGGATGAGAAAAGATTTTATCAACAGCAGTTCATCGTGCAAAAATATATTCTCCAGAACAGCCTAAATGTCTATCAATGGATAAATAAAGAAAATGTGGAATATCTGTCATCTATCTATCATCTATCACCTATTCTGTCTCACACACATGGAATATTACGTAGCCTTAAAAGAAGGAAATTCTGCTATTTACAACAACATGGATGAGTCTAGAAGACATTATCCTAAGTAATATATAAGACACAGAAAAACAAATACAGCATGATCTCATGCATGGGATCTAAAATAGTCAAACTTAGGGCCAAAACCGGTTTGGCTCAGTGGATAGAGCATCGGCCTGTGGACTGAAAGGTCCCAGGTTCAGTTCCAATCAAGAGCATGTACCTTGGTTGCTGGCACATCCCTGGTAGGGGGTGTGCAGGAGGCAGCTGGTCAATGTTTTTCTCTCATCAATGTTTCTAGCTCTTTATCCCTCTCCCTTCCTCTCTGTAAAAAATCAATAAAATGTATTTTTTAAAAATTAAGTAGTCAAACTTAGGGAAGTAGAGAGCAGAATGGTGTTTGAAAACCATACTCCAATTGTTGGCTGAGTTTTTATTTTATTTTATTGTTTATTACAAATAGTATTACACATGTCTCCTCCCGGCCTCCCCAACCCCCGGCACATTCTCCTCCCCCCCTGGTGTCTGTGTCTTTTGGTTATGTTTATATGCATACATAAAAGTCCTTGGGTTGACCTCTTACTCCCCCACCCTCACCCGCCAACCCTCCCCGGCCTTCCCACTGAAATTTGATACTCTTTTTTTCTTCTTGGAACAATGCTATCGTAACTACACAGGTTTCTTCCTTTTTCTTACCTGCTTAGTGAGCTCTCCACAAGTTCATGTCCTGGCTGCTTCCTTCTCATCATTAGTTGAACCTTAAATCTTACCTCCTCATAGATTCCTAACCTCTCTGTTTTATTAAGTTTTCCCATTATCATCCAACATAGTACACTCTATCACTTTCATAGAATTGTGCTCAATTTGTATTGCAAATATCGTTTGACAGTTTGCTGCCTGTCACTTTCGCTAGACTCAAAATTCAATGGGGGCTCCTGGTCTGTACACAGGGTCAGACACAGGACAGGTGCTTAGTAAATATTTGCTTAATGGTTGCATATTACAAATGAAGGGAAGGGTGAATCCATGACTATACCCTGGGTTAAATTTCTAAAATGCAATGGATGGGGCAAAGTCTAAGCTACATATAAATTATTACTTAATTTCTACCCAAGACTCCAGTGGAGAGATTTTGCAATCGTGTTTACACAACTGCTTGAATCTTTCTCCAGTTAGCCAAAGAGTACGGCCCTGTTTACACGTTGTACCTTGGACCCTCGCCCACTGTGGTCTTACATGGATATGAGGCGGTGAAGGAAGCTCTGGTCGATCAGGGTGATGAATTCCTTGGCAGAGGACCTATTCCAATTATCTCAGATTTCCAAAAAGGACATGGTAAGTTTCAAATCAAACTGTGGGTTCATTTTCTTTAGCAAAAAAATGACTAACAATAAGTGTCTGAACTACACCATGCAACTGATTAGACACTACAGTACTGCAAGGTAATTTTGAGCTCGTACAAACTCCATAGGTTAAGGGTGTTATCCCCCAAAACACTAAGCTCATTTAGATGCTAGACATAAGTTCAGGGGTTCCCAGGTCATCCATACTTCTGACCAACTGGTGAAAAACTCAGGGATACCCATGACCTCCTCCGGTTTGGAAATTGGTAAAATAATTCACAGAACTTGGGAAGGTGCTAACTTGTTTTATCATATGAAGGACACAAATGAAGAGACACAGAGGGCAAGGTTTGAGAGGGTCCCAAAGGCAGAGCTTCTGTTTCTGTGTCCTCTCCCTAGAAATCAGAATATTACCCATTGACGTGTTCACCAACCAGGAAGCTCACCCTGAGCTTTGGTGTCCAGAGTTATTATGTGACTATGACGGATTGATTCACTGATTACATGAGGGAACTCAACCTCTAGTTCTACTCCCTGAAAGATGAGAGATCAGTTGCTATCCTTTGGTTGAATAATACCCCAACCTTCTAAATCCTTAGTTGGTCTTTCTGGCATAGCCAGCTCCATCTTTGTTTTTATTTTCATTAATCAATACTTGACATATGTAATATATATACCTCAAAACCACTTAAAATTATAAAATTGCAATTCCCAGAGAAATGTAAACTTAATTCCATTAAGGAACAAAATTCAACTGAGTAAAGTTGAAGCTCTAATTGGCTTTAGAAAACTATTCATGCTTTGTTTTGTTTCTTTTTCTTTTTTTCTTTTTTTTAAATATATTTTATTGATTTTTTACAGAGAGGAAGGGGGAGAGATAGAGAGCTAGAAATGTTGATAAGAGAGAAACATCGACCACCCGCCTCTTGCACACCCCCTACTGGGGATGTGCCCGCAACCAATGTACATGCCCCTGACCGGAATCAAACCCGGGACCCCTCAGTCCGCAGACCGACGCTCTACCACTGAGCCAAAACGGTTTCGGCAGGAAGCTATTCATGTTTTGGACAACATCCCGTATATCATCGAGGAGGACCTCTGAGAGGCTGTACAAAATGGACGGTGCTAATAGATGGGCATGGGAGTTAATAGCAAAGGAAAGAAATAACTCGTTTTAGGCCAGCTCGCCTATTTTTTTGTAGAAAGGGAACGACAGGAGTTTTATGCAGATCAGCTTGCTGGAATAGATCAGGAAATTCTGGGCTGATTGGTTTAAAATTTCTCTCCTGAGAAAGACTGAAACTGCAATCAGGCTATTAAGTTTTGGTTTAGTGACTGGCTTAGCAAAAGTGACTCCATTTCGGCCTGTATTTCTTTTATATTTTTTTAAACATATATTTTATTGATTTTTTACAGAGAGGAAGGGAGAAGGATAGAGAGCCAGAAACATCGATGAGAGAGAAACATAGACCAGCTGCCTCCTGCACACCCCCTACTGGGGATGTGCCCGCAAGCAAGGTACATGCCCCTGACCAGAATCGAACCTGGGACCTTTCAGTCCACAGACGGGCGCTCTATACACTGAGCCAAACCGGCTTCAGTGTATTTCTTTTATTAACAATTCCCCCCTTTGATCAAACTTCAGTCTGAGAGATACAGTCAAATTGTCAGTCATTAAGTGCCACTCTCCACTCCTGCTCCGTGGCTATGGGAGCTTTTATTGATCCTCTGTGTGATATTCACAGGTCATGATGTTTTTGTTTAACCCATGTGATACTCATAGGTCACATCTTCGGATTCATAATCCTTAAGTAGGTGTTGGTGTGTGTTTTGATGTTCTAGTCTTAGATCATTTGTTTAGGTCAGTTAGCAGCTGCAAACATGCATTGACTTTTGAGAGGATACAACACGCCGATGAAATTGATGGCATGTTAGGAGAAATATGAACTTTAGACTAAGTAACAGGTTTTGAGCAGAGGGAGAAATTAAAAGGCATTGGTATTGGGACATACTGGATTCCTTTGCTTCTTTCTTCTTATTTGGATGAGGCTAACTTTCACTGTAGTAAATTCACAGAAGAATAGGATCTTAAATCCCATATTGCTTTGCTTCGCTTATCCTCTCATAGAGAAAATCACAGCTAGAACTAAACCATAAGTTGGAGGAATATGAAGTATAAAAACAGACACTCAGGAAAGGAGTTTGTGAGAACACATGCCACTTTTGACCATTTTTAAGGAAACCAGACAGGGCTCTTCCACATTTGGAAATGTTTTCCACTGGCCAATGATTCCCCTGCCCCTTTCCATCATCTCTGCCCCCTGTTGACCAGAGCATGGGTTTTCTTTTCTGTGTGACAAATAATTCACCCAAACCCTGAATAGGTTGTGCTTTGCAATTGCCATTTGCTGAAACTCTGCTAAGGGGCACTGGAAAGAGTTCAGCTTTAAGGAAAATCCCACTCTGTGACACCAACGTTCCTCCTCCTTGCTTTTCCTAGGAATCCTTTTCAGCAATGGAGAGACGTGGAAGCAGATGCGACGCTTTTCCCTCATGACCCTGAGGAACTTCGGGATGGGGAAGAGGGACACTGAGGAGAGGGTCCAGGAGGAAGCTCAGTGCCTGGTGGAGGAGCTCAGAAAAACAGGGGGTGAATTCCACTGATCAACCCTTTGGGGGCAAAAGGATTTCCTGTACACACCGCCCCCAGGCATAGTTTCTCCTTTGGGAATCACTTTGTGGTCCACAACCTGCTCTATTTAATAGGGAGCTGGCAAGGGAAAAGGGGTGGGAAGAAGGTGATACAGACCTTTTAGTTAGGACTCTCACGACCTTTAATTTGGACTCATTTCCCAACTTCAGCACTTACTGGATATGTAAATTTGGACAAGTTTCTTAACTTTTCTAAGATATACTTCCACACCTGAAAAATGGAGCTAAAAAAGGTAAAATCTCCAAATGAGAGTTTAATGTAGTTTGTAAGACAATTACACAGTATCGAGCATGTAAATGCTCTATAATATCATTTATGCTCTTAGGACTATTAAAGTACTGTATTCATCTACCTAATAAAAGAGCAACACACTAATTGACCATACCTTTGTGACACCCACCAGCCAATCAGGTGTGAGTATGCAAATTAACACAGCAAAGATGTCAGGTTAATTTGCATACACTGGCACTGAGCAGCTGGGGGCGGGATTCTTGCATTGTTGCCATGGTGACAACACAGGCCTTCTGCACCACCCCAGCCACTCTGGGCCTCTGGGCAGCATGGGAAGGCGGAAAGGCAGCTCCAGCCACGAGTGAAGGCAGTGCCAGCAGCCAGGGAAAGGAAGGCCCATTTTTGCACAAATCTTCATGCATTGGACCTCTAGTATAATAATATAATTGGTAGTATTAGTAGCATAGTGTAATACTATCTAGTATCAGCATTATTTGAAGGTGTTTATATACTAATTTGGGGAGGTTTAGAGGAAATACATCCTGTGTATAAATCTGAGCAGGAAGAGGTGCTGTTCTTGATGAAAATCCTAATGTTAAGAGTTGTTCATTTCTCATGTCAGCTCAGCCCTTTGACCCTACTTCCATCCTGTCACTTGCTGTCTGCAATGTAATCTGCTCCACCCTCTTCAATGAGCGTTTCCAGTATGACGATGAGGAGTTACTTTACCTGATGAGTTTGTTAAATGAAAATTCTAAGAAATTAAGCTCTCTATGGATCCAGGTAAGGCTGAGGCTGCATCGGTACTTGTGGTTGCTCTCATTGGTCCAGGCTATGAGCTCACCTATTCCAGGAACAAGTGTTGATGCCAGCATTCATTGTCACCTTCCCTCCACATATGTCCAGTGAATGAGTGCAATGGCAGTTATCCCCGCACCACTGGAAAGTTGCCCTCTGCCTGCCTCTATGGCTTTCCTCACACAAGGGGGCAGATTAACCATCCTCAGTTGCCAGTGTTTCTTTTCAGGGCCTTGTGCCCATTTTCTCCTGTATGACTCAGGGGTTGGCCGAAGCTGGGATGAGCAAGGAGATGGGCAGGGCCCACTCTCCTGTATGTAGTGATTGTCCTCCCTTCTCTTCCGCTTGGAAGTTGGAGGAAGGGATTCTGTCTGGCCAGACCACAGATAGATCAGTGTTAGGCAGTCCATTCAGGAGCTCTGGTTCCTCTAAACCACATGTGTCAAACACAAGGCCCGCGGGCCAAATCCGTCCCGCCAGGCCTTGCAATGTGGCCCGCACCACGCTGTCATCACTGCACTCCGCTGTGTTTCCATCACAATGACAGTTTATGACTGTTCAGTAAACCATTCGGCCCGCAATTTAGGCTGGATTTTAGATTTTGGCCCCTTCTCTGATTGAGTTCGACACCCCTACTCTAAACAAATTGAATTTCCAATGTATTTCCCCCTCCTCCCATTTTCAGATGTACAATCTGTGGCCAAATCTTATAAAGCATCTCCCTGGAAACCACAGATCATTTTCCAAAAGGATGACAAATGTTAAAAATTTCATTCTGGGAAAAGTGAAGGAGCATCAGAAATCCCTGGATCAGAATAACCCTCGAGACTACATCGATTGTTTCCTCAGCAAGATGGAGCAGGTACTGTATGCAGCGTCTCTCTCAACACCGTATCTTACCTTCCCATGGGAGTGCATGAGAGCATAGTCACACCATGGAGGTCATTCTTGATTTTTATGGCAGTGGGGCACAGTATTATCAGTAATAACAGAACTTCCTCTCCATGTCTATTTTCCTGTAAGATAGCTATCGATAGAAGTTTTTTTGAAGTGTTTCTGCTTTCCTATAAGTTTTGTTTCATTCTGTTTTAAATTAAGTTAATATTAAATCTCTATAATCTTATTGCATAATAGATTTGGCTTATGCTAAGAATTAAATAAAATAGTGGAGTTCATCCTAGTTAATGAAATTATAGTTAGAACATAAATAAAATATATGTTAACATTTCCATTTTCTCCCTAACTCTCTTTATCAGTAAAGACTTTAAAAAACTAATGGAACTGTCCTGGCTGGTATTGCTCAGTTGATTGAACATTGTCGCATGCACTGAAGGGTTGTTGGTTGGATTCCTGACCAGGGTGCATGCCCAGGTTTCTGGCTCCATCCCTGGTCAGGCTCAATGTTTTGCTCTCACATCAATGTTTCACTCTCTCTCCCACCTCCTCTCTCTCTAAAAATCATTAAAAATGTTTAAAACAACAATAACAACAAAAATGAACTGAACTTTCTCTTGTGAGGGACTTTCACCTACTCAATATTCTCGATTCCAGATAAACACAGCAGGACTATAGGTAGGAAACAACAATGTGCCTAAAATTTTAGAATTCCACATGCAGATATAACTCCATTTTGAAATGAATAGAAGGGACGTAGTATAAAGAAACTGAGGGAAGAAAAACTTGATTTAGACTTTTAAAAATAAAGCGAATTTAAAAACAAGTACTCCAGTACTTTTCTCAAATTTAAAAACCAAATGGTAGTAAAAGCCCACCAAAAATAATCAGCAATGAAAATAATTTAAATATAAAGGAATACCGAAATTTTATTAACTAGTGTAATAGCATTAAATATTCAAATGTTCAGTGCCCGTTTTTATGCCAGGTGTGCGGGATACATCTACAAAGACTTAATCCCTATTATTTTTACTATAATCATTTTAAAATAGGAAGCTCACTCACTATTTTTAAGTTCTGGATCAATTTATTGTCTAAACACTTTGTAGACCCCACGTAAAAAATTATGAGTAAAAAATGTCCTACAAGTACAGTCTTCCTATTAGAAATGCCTTTATAATGATGAAAGTTATATGGGAGAAGGTGGGGCTGAGAGCATCTAAGTTAGTGTAAGTGAAGGAAACAGACCAGTTATAAATCAGTGCTTTCTCTACATTGTGTTTGCATAGATTGTATCATCTGGTCTTTTTCATTAAATATAATAAAAGAAGATCTCGTTCACTGAGTATTTGTATATATGAGGCATAGTTCCAAGAGCTTCCACCCATTAACTAACTCTTTTCATCTTTCTAATAAGCCTATGGAGCGTGTTCTATTTTTTTTTTTTTTTTATCTTCATTTCACAGATGATGAAACTGAGTAGAGAGTAAAGTAACTTGCCTAAGGCGCACATCTATTCGTTGACTAAGCTGGGATTGAACCTTGGAGTTTTGATCCACAACTGACTTTTTTGTTTTCTTCTATCCACTACATGACAGTGCACAAAACGAAGCCTATTGCTAGTAAAGGGGTGTGATTGTGAAGCTCTGATAAGCCATTGCCTTCTTTTTAACTCCTATAGCCATTAACTCTACCTTCTACAGGAGAAACACAACCCCATGTCTGAATTTGACTTGGAGAACTTGGCCGTCTGTGGATCCAACTTGTTTGTGGCAGGAACAGAGACCACCAGTTCCACCCTGAGATTCGGGCTCCTGCTCCTCATGAAACATCCAGAGGTGGAAGGTACAGCCAGCATGTTGGGGATCAGGGCAGTAGCGGGGGTGGGAGGATATTGCTGACAGCGACTGCTTCGCTTTCTCTGGGCTGCCTTTTAGAGCACCCTGCAAATGGCCATGTATGTGGTTTTGCTTTGTAGATTAGAACTCTATCTAATAATGCTGATAAGGAAGAAGCACCTTTAAGAACTGAAAGGCTGTTGTTCAAATTGGAAGCAGAGGAACTTCTGAATCCTGAGCCTTGTATCTGAGGTGCAATGCCAAAGAGTGAGCACTGTTTCGATGAGGGACCAAGGCTGGATGCTCATCCTAGGCCTGCCGATACCGGGCTATGTGACCTCAAATGAGTCATTTAATCTTTCAGGCCCCTATTTTCCCAACTTGAAAATGGACCCTATTTCCCAAAGGGGATTTTTTAGCTGTGATATAACAGCATTCAAAAATGAAATTTTGGTAGATTCCTTTTCTTAAGCGCATTTCAGAGCACAGGCCTTATAAGCTAGTGTTTACACTGCTCAACAAAATGGTATTTACCACCCCCCAAAAAAACTTGAAGGAGACTGGGTGAAGGTGACAAAGGAGAAGCTCCCACTAGAGTAAGGATCAAACATTTCCCCCGATAGCTGCTTTGCCAGGAATCATGGGCTAAGCCATAATCCCTGCTACAAAGGTCCTTGCCTCACCAGTACATGAGAACAAACCAATGAAGCCAGGAGGCTGAGGACATGGTGAATCCAGCCTTTGTGCTTCCTTCAGCAAGTCTCTGGCATTTACAGCAAAACAGAAAAGAGAAATTCAGCCAGGAGCAGAGCAAGGGGCTGTTTAACAACAAGTCTTTGACCTTGGGAACCTTTCCTAGGCCATGTTCTGCTGCACATGGCAAGCATTTCAGGTAATTTCCAGGTGCCCAGGGAACACATCTCTTGAGTGGCATCCGTGATTCATGTCTCTGCAGCCAAAGTTCATGAAGAAATTGACAGTGTGATTGGACACAACCAGAGGCCCTCCTTGAAGGACAAGATGAAGATGCCTTACACAGAGGCTGTGTTGAATGAGATTCAAAGATACGTCTCCCTCCTTCCTTCTAATTTACCACATGCTGTGACTAAGGACACGAAATTCAGACAATATGTCATCCCCAAGGTTAGATGTGTCTGGGAAAACGGACTGGGATAGAAGGGGTGGTACAGTCCCTCAGTGGGACCTGTGAGAGCTCTCAGTTCTATTGCAGGAAGAGAGGCAGTCGTGTGTAATGGAAAGCACACAAGGTCTTGGTTTGAAACCTGTCACTGCCACACAGTGCACCCTCAGGTCATTCAGCAGCTCTGTAGCCCTGTCTCTGCCTTCCTAGGATAGGGGAGGCTGACCTGGGGATTCTAAGGACCCCTCCTGCTCTCATATAGAATGTATTATGGGTGCAGTGATTTCCATTAATGAGAATCTTCTGGGGACTGGAACCTATTTTTTCAGGATAGATAATAAAAAGGGGGAAGTGGAAAATGTGTCTGTAGCTCTAAGGTAATTAAGCCAGGGTCAATCTTCTTTCACCCAAATGTTCTCCTCCCAGAACTTTATGTATAGGACATTTGAGATATTGCTGCTCTTGATGGTTAACATTTGTAGAACACCTAGCACTTACCAAAACTTACATGCTCACGAGGGATGTAGTCAGTCTCCTGTAGTGATTAGGGGCTTAGGTTTTACATTTAAATAGTTCCAGAGCATATAAGAGGGGGGAAAGGTGCCAACCTGATCAAAATATTGCAAAATCAGAATAAAAATACTACAAAACAGCCACCAATCTTACTTTTTAAAAAATATATATTTTATTGATTTTTTTACAGAGAGGAAGGGAGGGGGATAGAGAGTTAGAAATATTGATGAGAGAGAAACATCTATCAGCGGCCTTCTGCACACCTCCTACTGGGGATGTGCCTGCAACCAAGGTACATGCTCTTGACCGGAATCGAACCTGGGACCTTTCAGTCTGCAGGCCGAAGCTCTATCCACTGAGCCAAAACGGTTTCGGCCACCAATCTTACTTAAAAGTATCAATGCAAAAGTTTAGCATCATATTACAAACCCCACATCACCAACAAATTGAGATCCTTAAGAACACAGGAATGGTCTAACACCAGGAAATCTAGTTTAATAAAATTCACCATATAAATAAAATTTAGGAGAAAAATCATATAATAATCTAATTTGTACAGAAAATGCTTTTGCTAATATTCAATAGCCATTTTAATTAAAAATTATTTTCAAATTATAATTGACATTTAATGTTATATTAGTTTCAGTCATTAGTATAGTGGTTAGACATTTATATAACTTAGAGAGTGGTCCCTCTGATAAGTCTAGTACCCACTGGGACTATACATAGTTATTACAATTTTATTGACTATCTTCCCTATGCTATATTTACATCTCTGTGACTATTTTATAACTGCATATTTTACTTCATTTTTGTTTTTTAACCCTTAATAAAGTAGAAATAGATGAACATCTCGTTAGCCAAAAAAAAAGCCCCATTTCCCAATCATGCTTATTGATGAAAGATGAAAAGCATTCCTAAGTAGAAATAAAGCAAGGCTATTTACCATTATTAATATTATGCAAGCAGAATTAGAAAAAATAATGAGATAAAACATTTAAAAGAAAGAAGCCACTTTGTAAATGACTTTTCGGATTTGAGGCAGCAATTCCAGTACATGTCATGTCTAGACAATGTGGGTGGCAAACCCCCATTTACCAACAATAACTGGTTACCTCACATTGATCACAACATCACTCTTCCCAAAGAGAATTATCTTATTACCCAATAAGTATTGTATGATAATAGCATGTATAAAATAGCCATAACTCAAGTCAGTCACTCACCAGGCAAGCGTAAGCGTGCTCAGTCCTATTCAATCCACTAATGAAGAGTGTTATTGTCTTTAATGAATCAAGGATGGGTGCGATAAAGTACAACTCCTCTCTCTTTTCTTGGTTCCAGGGCACCACGGTTTTTCCATTGTTGTCTTCCGTCTTGTATGACTGCAAGGAGTTCCCCAACCCAGAGAAGTTTGACCCAGGCCACTTTCTGGATAAAAATGGCAGGCTCAGGAAGACAGATTACTTCGTACCCTTTTCCCTTGGTAAATACAAATAAACCCACCCAAACCATACACATGTACAATTTGGACAACTTTTTAGCCTCACTGAGAGTTTGGCATAACTAAGTAATCCCTGGATGATAGCAAAGTTGAGCATGTGAAACTGTTACAGTTTCTGATGTAACTGTATGGAGCCACTTTAGTCTGTACACCGGGAGGATTAGCAAAGTCACCCAGGGACTGCTTTGTTGTTGGGTAACTGAGTGTAATGCCAGTTTTCACAGAAACCAAAGTTAGTTGAGCCAATTCCAATGTCACATGTTACCAGATGGCAAAGGGATCTGCTTTTGCAGACTTTTATCTGTTGATTTCCCCTTTGTAATATTGATTTTTCCAAAACAAACGTACAAGTATTTTTTCTTCTTTTAAAATTATTAATGATTATTAACTTCTTTTTTTTAAACAATATATATTTTATTGATTTTTTACAGAGAGGAGGAGAGAAGGATAGAGAGCTAGAAACGTCAATGAGAGAGAAACATCGACCAGCTGCCTCTTGCACACCCCCTACCAGGGATGTGCCAGCAACCAAGGTACATGCCTTTGACCGGAATCGAACCCGGGACCTTTCAGTCCGCAGACCGACGCTCTACCACTGAGCCAAACCGGTTTCGGCAATGATTATTAACTTTCTGATTCTTAGGGCCAGACACCATCAAAGAGACTTGGCGACTTCATATTTTTTCTTCCCCTCTGAAACCTGAGCCCCACATACCCTGGCCTCTTTTCAAGAGCTGGTTGGCTCCCAGTTACTATTTCCCATGAGGTTATAAAGACAATTCGGGATTGGTCAGCACACATTCTTTTTCCTTATCTTATCCAATCATTTGCTAAATATTTAAAAAAATAACAGTTAAGATGTTTTGTTTCTAATTACAGTGATAATAAGTGTTCAACATAAAAGATGGAAAATGCAGAAAAGCAAAAAAAGAGAAGGAAATAAAAGTTATTTGCCATTTCACTCTACAGAGATAACCACTATTGTCTAAGTATTCATAATAGATGTATATTTAAAAATAAAATTTGGTTCATTCTGTACAATCTTTGATAATTTATTTTCACTTAGTTTGTTGTGATAAAAGACAGACTGTGGTGTTAAATAATCTTCCGCGTCAACATACTTAGGTTTCACTGTGTGAAATGCGGAAGGATTTATTTCATTAGCTTGTATAGGTGGATATACAGTTTTCATCTGACTCATCAATATCATAAATAACAGTGCAAGTGACATCCTAATAGATGCATCCTATGGCTACATACCCAGAAGGAGAGCAACCCAATTAAAGAGTGAACATTTCCCGAGAGAGTTTTGTTATATATTGACAAAGAATTGGCTTCCAGCAGTTGATAAAATTCCCTTTTCTGGTCAGTGTTTTCCATGGCTCTTAGAGGCATCTTGTATTTGTCGTCTTGATTGGCATGTTGTATTTGAATGTGAGCTATTGTATTTGAATCTGGAGCGAACTAATGGGATGTTTCCTCCTTCCAGGAAAACGGGCCTGTGTTGGCGAGGGCCTGGCCCGCGTGGAGCTGTTCCTCTTCCTCACCACCATTCTGCAAAACTTTTCCCTGAAGCCCCTGGTGGAGCCCAGCCAACTAGAGACCAAACCCCTTGTAACTGGGCTTCTCAACGTTCCCCGGCCTTTCAAGCTGTGCCTTCTTCCTAGATGAACGCACTTTTTTAACAATATGATTCAAAGTAATTGCTTCTCCTCTTACTCCCCAGCAGTCTTTCTCTTCATTTTAAATTCTGTGTAGGACAGAAATACTACTCACTAAAAACTTGATGGACATTTGTTTAAATCTACAAATCCCTTGACAAAAAGGAGCTGGGTCCTGAAAACTCCAAGGGCACAAACACTGTATTCACACCCTGTACAGTTCTTGGTGAGCCACGCTTCGGCAGAACCAAGACCAGGCCCGCCCAAGGCTTTTGTCGGGGATAGTTAGCAATAGAGAGCCTTTGCTCTTCTTGTGGCTGCGGACATATGCTGATTTTCTGTTGATTTTCAAAACAAGGACATTAATATAATAGCCTCTGTGTGTGATTTCTATTTCCAATTGAAAGCATGTATAGGATTTGTACCACATTCACAAAATAAATCCTTACTTCCACAATATATTTTCTCTGTATGTTTGACTTTATTCCAAGTCTCAAACATTTTTTTTGTGTGTGTGAGTTATGGCTCTCCATAGATAGGATAAGGTAAATAGATGAAATTAAACGATAACCTATCACAAATCTTTCCCTCTTCTATTTGCAACTATGGACGTGCATGGGACTCAAAGAGCCTTCTTTTATTTTTTTAGAAATACTTTTATTTATTTCAGAGAGGAAAGGAGAGGGAGAGATAGAAACATCAACGATGAGAAAGAATCATTGATTGGCTGCCTCCTGCATGCCTTCTACTGGGGATTGAGCCTGCAACCCAGACATGTGCCCTGACTAGCAATCAAACTGTGATCTCTTGGTTCATAGGTTGACGCTTACCCATTGAACCACACTGGCCAGGCCCAAAAAGCCTTCTTGCATAAGAAGTCCATCTATGCATAGCCATTCTATTCGAAAAGAGGTGAGAGGTGGATTTGGGGGTTGAAGAGCAAGAGGAGCTGCAAGGAAAGACTGAGCATTCCCAAAAGAGCCGTGACTCAGAAAATAGCTACAACTACCCCAGCAGTGGCCCAGCTGTGAGCAGCAGCTGCCACAAAAGGTTGGTTCAAAAACCAGCAGGCAGTCCCACCTCCAGGGACCCTGGGAGGGAAAGGAGCTTTAAAAGTAGAGCTGAGCTTCTGGATAAATACCCTAAAGAACTGAAAGCAGGGACTTGACCTGACATTTGCACACACATGTACCTACAAGCATAATTCACAAGAGCCAAAAGGTAGAAATAACCCAAATGTCCATTGACAGGTGAGTGGATAAGCAAACTGTGACTATACATATATGTACAATGGAATATTACTCAGCCTCAACAAGGAAGGATATACAATATATTCTGATACATGCTACAACATGAATGAACCTTGAAAACATTATAAATGGTGAAAGAAGCCAGATATAAAAGACCTCATATCATATGATTCCTTTATATGAAATATCAGAAGAGGGAAATCCACAGAGACAGAAAGTGGATTGGTGGTTGCTTAGGGCTAGGAAGTGACTACAAATGAGCACAGGATTTTCTTGGGGGGTGATGAAAGGACTCTAAAATTAGGCTGCAGAGCCTGCAGACTAAGGGGTCCCAAGTTTGATTCTGGCAATTAGGCGTTCTTAAATTATGGCTTTGTTTTGTTTTCTGAAATTTTTTTTTTATTGTTTGAAGGATTACAAATAGTAGTACTTACTTTGTTTTCCCCTTGACCTTCCCCCAGCTTCCCCTAGCTCGCCCCCTCCCTCCCCCCCAAAAAAAAAATGATGAGTTTTTTTTTGTTATCAAGTCATGAAAATTCTACCATAGTCAGTGCAAATTCAAATTTTAACTTTTAAGGCAGTCATGCCTTTTTTCCGGTCTGTTTCAGGATTTAGTGTGAAAAATCCAGGCTTAGCCGAAACCGTTTTTGGCTCAGTGGTAGAGTGTCAGTTTGCGGACTGAAAGGTCCCAGGTTTGATTCTGGTCAAGGGCATGTACATTGGTTGCGGGTACATCCTCAGTAGGAGGTGTGCAAGAGGCAGCTGGTCAATGTTTCTCTCTCATCGACATTTCTAGCTCTCTATCTCTCTCCCTTCCTCTCTGTAAAATATCAATAAATATATTTATTTTAAAAAGAAAGAAAAGAAAATTCCAGGCTTAGTCACTATTCAATCAATTAATATTTGTCATATCTCTCTAATATATTGACATGTTGGATTCTTTTATACTACTTATTATAATGTTGAATTTCTCTAAATCTAAGATGCCATCTTTTTAAAATGCATTCCAGTTTCAGAGACTGTACCATGTGAAATAAACAGCACCTTAGAATTAATGAAATGTAGTTGCCACCTAGTATGTTAGGACTTATAATCCATCACTTGTCTGCTTAACGGCTGTTCAAAGTCTAAATTGTGTCAGTCCTTTCTTTTCAATGACCGGAGTACTTTGAGCCAGACTCTTCCAGTTAATCTCTGCCAAATACCCTGATACCCAATATGATGTCATATCAGGGCACACATTGCATTCGCTTTTCAAACTCAGAAAGAACCTCTTTACTTTCAGGAATGATGATTATACAGGTATAGGCTATTTACAAATTAAGCAACACTGGTACACAGAATGGATTCAGAGTCCATGTCACTCATGCTTCCCATTGGCTAGAGGGCAGTCTGAACCAATATGTCACTGAACCAGTGATGGCCCTGTTGGAACTAGTGGGGGCATGTGGAGGAACCGGGGTTACTGACATCCCATTTAATCATTTCCTGTCCTGTTCTAAAGTCAACAAAATGTCAATGCAGAGGAGATAGTTCATTATTTGTTACAACTTTTCAACATGTATTTAATACATGTTATATATCAAGTATAGGAGGAACTGGGAGTCCAGAAAGAAATACAATATTGTCTCTGGTCTTAAGGGCCTTATATTTTAATCAAGGAAGATAACACACACACACACACCCCAGAAAGTAGAGGAAATCCCAGAAGGATTTCCCTTCTTGGAAACCCCTGGGAGGCTGCATTTAGAGAAAGCATATTCAAGAATATTTATTCTGGTTGAAGACAGTGGAAATGGAATATTGTGAATTGACTTCCAACTTTTGAAACCAACTGAAAGCAAAATAAAAGGTCAAAAAAGAAAAATGGAACTTCCACCTTCAATAAATAAGGAAGAAGTTATAAATACAAAACTATGAAAAATAGCTGACAAGTGAAGAGAATTTTGACCTTACTATGTGAGAACAGGGAGCCAACACATCCTGCACAGACTCTGGGAAAGAGTTCAATTTAACTAAAAGTAGGTGTCAGATTACTGAGCATGGATTGAAAAAATACCATTTAAAAATGAAATTTGTGGTTGAAAAACATAGGAGCACACCAATCACCACCCCTTACTGAATTTTGTGTTGTGTTATTAGGGCCATTATTTGGGTTTCCAAGAAGGTAATTCCTTCTGGGGTTTCCTCTACTTTTTGAATCCAGCTCACTCTCTCCTGTTGGGTTTCCAATGCTCTCCATGATCAGTCTGCTCCTCCAGTCCAGATAAACACCCCTGGGGCCCCATCCCCCTCATCTATATACAGATTTTTTTACAGAGAGGAAGGGAGAGGGATAGAGAGTTAGAAACATCGATGAGAGAGAATCATCAATCAGCTGCCTTCTGCACACCTCTCTCTGGGGATGTGCCCGCAACCAAGGTACATGCCCTTGACCGGAATCAAACCTGGGACCCTTCAGTCCACAAGCTGATGCTCTATTCACTGAGCCAAACCAGTTAGGTCCCCTCATTGTCTTCACTAAGCGTGCCTCACTTTTCAGGAACAGTTTTGTATACACTGTACAGTGCTATGTATGTAGTAGTCATATTTATTATTTTCTTACTGCCTTGACTAGGATGCTTTCCCCTTCTGTCTATTCCCCTGGACCTCAAATGCAATCTGTTTGAATCTAAATGCAGCATCTCTTCCCCAGCAGCTCTTCTTGGGAAATGGCACCACCTGTTGCCCAAGTCAAGAACATGGGCGCCATTCTAAAGTCTTCCTTGTCACTCATTCCCCAAAGGCACTCGACCTCTAAGCCTCTGAGCCCACTCAGTTTCCACTCTTGTGGATCCTCATAACCAACTGCCCCACTGTTTTCGGCCTCCACCGCCAGAGCCTCAGTCCCGCTCTCATTCATCCTTACCTGGATCTGACTTCCTGCCTGGGTTCAACCCCCTCCTTTGTACAGGTCACGCTGTAGCCAGCACACAGCCAGTCACAGCCAATCATATCGTGTCAACTCGCCCCCTGATTCCACTGTTCAGATTCTTTATTGGTTCTCCATTCTCCTTAGTTAAGTCCAAACTTCTCTCCCTCATCCAGGCCCTCATGACCTATGTTTATGATCTTTCCAATGACCAGTGATGTTGGACATCTTTAAATGTGCTTATTAGCCATTCATATCTCTACTTTAATGAAATGTCTATTCAAGTCCTGTACTCGTTTGTAAAGTGGGTTGTTTGTTCTAGTATTGTGTTGTAAGAGTTCTTGATGCATTCTGAATATATTGCCAGATATCTGGTTTAAAATGGTTTATTTCCACCCTGTGGCTTATCTTTTCATTTTTCCAGGGGTATCTGTTTAAATATTTTGGGGGAGGAAAGGGACAAGACGGAGCTGTGTTTCAGAAAGATGGCCTGGCCTCAGTGTGTGCGATGGACGGAAAGGGACAGAGAGCTCCCTTTTATTGATCTTCTTTAAACTTCAACAGGCAGCAGCTGAGCGGCAACCTATGAACCAGGAGGTTACCGTTGGATTCCCAGTCAGGGCACATGCCCAGATTGCAGGCCCAGTCTCCCCTGAGGGGCATACAGGAGGCAGCTCGTCAGTGATTTGTCTCTCATCATTGATGATTTTTTTTTTTTCTCTCTCTCTCTCTCCCTCTCCCTTCCTCTCTGAAATCAACTTTAAAAATACATTACATTATCACATAGGGAACAAGCATCGCCCACGTTTCCCAAAGCTCTCTGGGAGTCAAAGGGTTATAAGCAGCTATTTATTGAAAGCCAGTTTCCAGTGCAGTTAATCAGTAAGCCAGAATCCGTGGAACTACCGAATCTGGGGGACGTGTAGAAAACCCTTCAAAGGGTTCTCCTGCGTTCCGAGAGGCAAAGAAATGGGGGAGGAGAGGTGATGATCCCAGAGCCACAGGAATAACCTCCAGCTGTGGGCTTCCTCCAGGTGCGGCACGCTGCGTTCCCTGCTGGAAGAGCAGGTCCCGGCCCTGGGATTCTGACGGAAGCAGGCAGGTTTGGGGGAGACGGTGGCTCCCTGCCGGAACCCCTCGGAAGAAGGCCGGCGGGATGTCAGGCCTGCTCTCGGTGCTCCTCCGCCTCTCCCTGCTCCTCCCGTGGGCCGCCCCGGTGACCTTCCGCCACCACCGCTACGATGAGCTGGTGCGGACGCTGTACAAGGTGCACAACGAATGCCCCTACATCACGCGTG